GAAGTTTCTCTCCCTCAAGGATCATACAGTGTACTGAGAGAGATGCCTTCAGGTAAGCAGTTAACCATAGGGCAAATACTAATGAGTGAGTTCTTCACAAGCCCTTCAGCAATTCCAAAATTGATATCATCATCCTTGTATTGACCTGGTTTTCCCTTTAAAATGACCAGTTCAACACCATTATCTAACCAGTCATACCTGTTGGATGCACACCAGCCTATGTAGTCCTTTTTTCTTTATCTACCCTGAGCATCTGCCAGTCATCATCCTCTCCGGTGTACTCAGTCAGAGTCCTTAAATCTGTTGATTTTCTTCTTCCTGACTGCCAGTGTATTGATTTTAACACCTTTTGTCTTTCTGTACACTCTTGCTGCAACTGTCTAACTCCTCTGCCTGTTTCTGTTTTAAATATCTTTAAATACATTTTGCAGACTCCAGCTATATTGACGTATTTGAATAGTGGTCATTCTGTGTCACTCACTGGCTTAACTTCTGTGATACCCAGTGGTCTATAGGATCAGCCTCATTTCTTAATGTGGCAACAACCTCCAGGATCTGGCTTCCCCTCACACTTTTTATACTAATTACCAAATACTCTTTAAAGACTTTTGCCTTTGCGCAATCTATCTTTGTCCCTTTAGAGTGGCCTTCTCTTTTATCTTTGCTTGGCTGACTCCTACATGTCTTTCAATTCAACTGTTACCTTCTCAAGAATCTTTCCCTCATCCTTAATGGGAGCGCTGGCTCCCACTGATCCATGGGTTACCCTGGATACCTCTGTTAAATACTGTGTTTATGTCTGTTTCTAAAATGTGATGTGTGCATCTCAAAGGCAAGCATTAGGTCTAATGTATCATCAGTCCTTAGTATGGTGCCTGGTATTTAGTAGATAATAAAGATGTATTGAATAGATTGTATTGCATAGAAAATAAAGGGCTCATTAAGGTATCTCATTAATAATTGACGGGTAATTATGGGAGTAGATCATGTGGGCCTTTGAATGCCATGATCAAGAATTTGTTATTAATTCCATCAACAAAGGGAATACACTGAATGGATTTAGAACAAAGAAGGAACATAATTGGACCTTCAGTTGCTTTTTTTTTTTTTAAAGATTTTATTTATTTATTTGGGAGGGTAGAAATCACGAGCGGGGGTGGGGGGTGGAGAAAGGCAGAGGGAAAGGGAGAGGGAAGGAGAAGCAGACTCCCTGCTGAGCAGGGAGATGGAGGAGGGGTTTGATCCCAGGACCCTGAGATCATGATCTGAGCCAAAGGCAGACACATAATGGACTGAGCCACCCAGGCACCCCTAGACCTTAAATTTCTTTACTAGAGTAAACACCTTGAGGGTTGGGCTTTTTTTGTTTGTTTCTTGCTCACTATTTTATTCTCAAATAAAATGTGACTTGTGTAGAAGTAGGAACTCATCATATATTTGAATAAACTAAGATGTGTTTTAGAACAGTACTATCTGATATGTCTTTCTGCAATGAGGGAAATATTCTGTGTCTGTGCTATACAATATAGTAACCACTAGTCACATGCAGCTATTGCTCACTTTAAGGAATTGAGGAATTGAATTTTTAATGTTATTTAATTTTAATTAATTTATATTTAAATTTAAAGAGCCACATGTGACTCGTGGCTATTATGTTGGACAACACAGTGTGGACAGTTTTCCCTAGCAGGGTCCCAACAGAAAAAAGATGGAACACTCAAATTAGGATAATTCAAGAAAATTTATTTATAGATAGACTTTTTCCAAATGTGTGGGCAGCTTTAAGGGAACCACAAGAGAGAGTTCAATTAACTGTGGTGTGACATGGGAGCAATGGTGAGACAGAATTGATGGAAAGACTCGTAGTTAAGATTATAAGCCTGGATCACATTGGAATAGCATTTATAATTGTTCTTTTCAATAAAGTCTTTCCTGACAGTTTATTTACTGATGAGGAATGTGATTGCTTTCCCTATACAGTGCTGTTCTGTGCTGTGTTTTCACAGCATTTTTCCCGCCTGGTATTCCACAGTAAGTGGTACCTTTTCCATTAGCAGGGCTCTGCTGACTTAATGGTGGCTCCTGTCAAGGTTCCTTTAAGAAGCATCCTCTCTTCTGAGCACCTAGAATGTAGGCAGGCTCTGACTGTTATCTGTGGTTATGTTTTAATATCCTGCCCTTTCTATCCCTTACTTCAACATATACAATTCACCTTCAGTCCTAGCTCATTGCTTGATGATTTGTTAAGGCTTTGAAAACAGAAGGAATGAGGGCTTTTAAGCAGGATGGGGCTATTTCTCCTTTATTTATTTTTATGCCATGCAAAAGGAATAAAGAGGCATAAAATGGTTTGACTGAGTGAAATAAATCTGGGTAAATAGAGCAAGGACCCAGTAAAAAGCTGGAGGTGAAAAGAAGAAAGGTGGGGGTGAGGGGATACAGGGAAGGAAGAAGGGAAAACTTTATACTTCCTGTAGTAATAGGGACTATTTATTATTACCTAGAGAACAAAATGTCTTTGACCCAATGAAACATCTTAAATTAAGATTAAGCTCTGGGTAGAAATTAAGAAATCATCTTTATAGTCCTTATTTAATCCCATCAGGTTGTCACCTCCTGTCATCCTTTATTAAAGTTTTGTATGCCACTGCTGTTTGTTCTGAGAAGGTTGACATCTTCTAGTTATTCTGATGAATCTCATCACAGAAACTAATGAGTTTTTATTGTCAACACAACAGGAATCTCCTGTATTATTTCTGATGTCCTATGTGAGGGGTGGGGAGGGGGAGGTATCTCTTCATTCTGTCCCACTCCTGACCCCTTTTACTATCTCTGCTTTCATGAAGTTGAAAGAGACATCCAAGAGCTACGCTGCATGAAACTGGAGAATACGGGCTAGGTTCTTTAGGTAAAATTAGAAACTGTCTTATAGCCCATTGTGTATCTGCTTATGCCATTGCCTTCCATGGCTCTGCATTAACTTTTCATAATTTTCTACTGCTGGCATGGGTAATGCTGGGTAGGGGCTGTTAGGTAACCACAACTTTCATCTGGTTGATTGCCACCGTTGCTTTTATTGCTCTGACATCTAGAATTTTATTTGTCTCTATTTCTTCCTTCCTCTTATCTCCAGTTCTTTCACTAGATACAGTCTCCATCATGTACACATTGCACACTCATCCTCAAAAAGAAAAAGTGGCAAAAGACTTAGTAGTCCTCTGTTGTTTCCCCCTAGGAGGCATCCAGAAATGCATGCAACCAATATTATTGGAATTTAGTAGACAGAGGCCCATGGATGCCAAACATCCTGCAGTGTATAAGGTGGTCTCAAATGATGGTGATTTTTTTTTCCATCTTAAATATTAGTAACACCACTGATGAGAAAATCTAGGTATAACTGAGGTTTAGGTGGGTACCAGTGACCTCAGCTAATAGAGGATTTTAGCTGTGCCTTGATGGGTAAATGCTAAAATCTCCTAAAGAATCTAGTATGACACCTTCCTGGCATTTGGTAGGCTCCTAATAAAACTGTTTGTTCTGAGTTAAGTTGTTCACTTTTGAACTAGTCAACACCATTCAATAAGTCCTCTTCAAGTTACTTTCAGGAATAGAAAAAAAAAAAGCTATACTTGTCAATATCAAGATTCTAACAGTATTGTAGGAGTGATGAACTTGCATAGAAACAAATATTGGGAAATTTTCAAAATGCTATTTGGAACAAGGAAAGATGAGAGTTTACTCTTGAGGAGAGTTGGTGGGGGGAACTCTTTGTGGAAACCATTGAGGAAGAGGTAGGATTTTAGCAGCAGCTTATTTTGCAGACACTTGCTGAAGTCAAGAGTACATTATATATAAGAACTTGGGGGAAGAGATAGACATGTGTGGAAATATTGTTACTGGGAAGGATAGTACTTGAGATGATGTGACAGAAGATGGAACTAAACAAAGGTTGGGATAGAGTATATAGATGGTCTTGAACTTCTTGTAAAGAAGTCTCTTCACTTGAAGGTATGGATTTATGTGTGAATGTAGTCATCAGGCATAGTATATGACACACTGCCTAATGGTCTATACTTTACCTCAATTTCCTTCTTCATGGAGTCTGTGCTGTAAACTCCCTCAGTTATCAGCTGCTTAAACTTACCTTCCTGATTTTCAAGGTCTCCTCTCAAGAGCCCTATTCAGTTTATTAATTTAAATGGTAGCAATTTTCTTAGAGGTGAATCGCATAATGATTTTTTTCAATCTTTTTTATACAAGATAGCACTGAAAAAAGTATGATTAGATTCAATTCAGTTTTCTCCCACAAAAGTAATGTGTAGAAAATACCAACCAAGGTGACTCTCTGCTTAATAGCCTAAAGATTTAGGTTAAGGATATAACAGAAAACTGTTCTGCTTAAAGAAATGCAAAGGTGTTGCACAAATTATCTTAAAGAGCCAAAAACAGCATCCAGTTCCTGCTTGAAACAATTTGTTCTTGGAATATTGTAAGCTAAAATTGTGGTCAACTTTTGCAAATTGTATGAATTTGCACTGCATATTTTATTTGGTGTTTAGCAAAACTCCAATATGGCTCTGCATAACTTACACAATACACCATGAAAATGACTTCAGAAACTCCCACGGAAGTTGACAAATTGGGCGTCTAATGCTTTTAAAGTAATTGCGTGCTTTGAGGTTAAAGAGTCGACTTGTTAAGAATGAAGATCAGAGTTTCTTGGAGAGAATGCTCTGCCGACTGCCACACTGAATGCAACCCAGCCCCATATAAGAAATGTTACAGAAGCTTAATGAAGAAAATAATGTGAGCTTTAATCACCATTCTACTTAGTCTTAAGTGAAGTGCTCATGAATCATATGCAATATCATAGCAGTTTTGAAACCTATTCTTGAATTTTCAAGCTGTTATTTTCAGGAAATTTAGAAAGCAAATTGCTAAGTGATAAAGAGTAATCTGATACCATTGCTTATGCCATTTTTTTTTTTTCTCTTTTGCAGGCTGGAAAAAAGGAAAGGAGTAATACCCTGAATATTGCTATAGACAACATGTGTAAGAAGACAAGAGACCTTCGCAGACAGGTGAGGGAAGAGAGGCATAGAGACAGAAACACCGTACAAAATGAACTTTTTTCCACTGCTAGAATATTTCCTTCTTGTTTTTGTCCTTCTTCAATTAATTTAGAAAACAAAACAAGAGTAAATATGTACCTTCCATATTTACATACCTCAACCATTTTTGTGGCAAACATAAAGTAGAAGAAAGAGCATGTGACTTAATATCAGGCTGAATTACATTCAAATGCTGGCCCTGCCCTCATCAGCTGTGTGATCTCGGGGACAAATTTAATCTTTTTGAGCCTCTCTAAACCTTAAAATGGAATTCATAATACATAATTGGACTGTGAGGATTAAATGAAATGCCTATCAGTGCCTGCTCCCTAGTGACGCCACATGGAGAGCGGGAAGAAGAAGAATTTAATTCTTCTTGGTGAATTTAATCTGTTACATTAGAAACTAGTTTATCATCCATATGCTTATAGCAAACAGCTAGTAATCAGAAATGTACCAATTTGCTCTTTCAGTTATTTTCAGAATGCTTCAAAAATTAGTTGCTGCTTAAGCTAAGGCTACTTTGTAGCCTTAGGTCATCGGTAACATAGGGTTAGGAAGGATTTCATTAGATAATTTAGAAGTCCAGTATTATGCCACAAGTTAGATTATTCCCCCCAGAAATATGAAGACTTAGCTATTTTCAAAGACCTTTGCTTTCCATTATTTTCCACTATATAGTAACCAGAGTTGTTTTTCATGTACAACTTCAACTTGGTCACCATTAACTCATAAAAGAGAAGCAAAAGCTTTTCAACCATAAGCTTTTAATGCAATATATTATTGTAGTTTAATGGGAAGATTTAGTAAAATGGCCTGAGTAATCTTTTAATTCAGAAGTAGATTTGGAAATTGAATAAATAGGGATTCCTCAGCCAGTTAATATTAGCTGTTAAAAAAAAACAATTCTGACGGTCGGGGAAATTCCAATTTCTCAACTTTATGGCCTTAATGTGAATTCTATTTCTACTGTCAGCACTTAGAATCATGGAATGTAAGAGTTGAAAAGAAGTTAGCTCAACTTGTCTTATAATGCAGATGAGAAAGCACGCCTGTGGTGAGGTGGCCTGCCTAAGGAGGAAGGGGCATCGAACCTACACCAGGTCATAACCTACACTAAACTCAGGAACTTTTACCCAAAGCGCCATCCTCCCTCTTCATTGCAGGACTTCTATTCTCAATCTTCTTGAGGATTTCTACTCCATCGGCTCCTCTTGGGACTTGGAAAAGCTGTTCTGTGAGCTATCAACAATGTGTCTTTCATTTCTGTCTCATCCCTCTCTATTGCCTTCAACAAAATGTTAATCTACATTTATACCCCCAAAGCTTTAGGAACCATTAATTAAAAAAAAGTCAAGATAAATCAATCCTTTATGTGTCAGATTACTAGATTTAGCAAATAAAAGCACAAGATACCCAGTTGAATTTGAATTTCAGATTAATAACAAACATGTTTAATTATGTCCCAAATATTGCATGGGACATAATTATATTAAAAAATAGTGTTTTTATATGAGATTTAAATTTGACCAGGCATCTTGTATTTTATTTTGCAATTCTACATGTGTTTTCCCCTCACTAACATCAGTGAGATATAGAAAGAACATGGGGGATTACTAATACTTTTCTTTATAGTAAAGGGATATTACCAGCTTGTAAAAAAACTGCTGTGTTCCAGAAGTATGAAAATTCTCTATGGTTTCTATGGGTCAACATATTCATTGTTTTGATTAAGTATTGTTGTTTAACAAAGGACTACAAACAACAGCAACCATTTTATTATGTTTCATGATTCCATGGGTTGGCTGGGGGTCAGCAGGGCCATATTTGTACCCTTGACTTATGGTCTCCCATGTAGTGGCAGGCAAATGGTGACTGTGTCTGGGTTCAGGGCTGGGTGTTTGAGGCCTCAGTGCTTCTTCTTCCCACTCTCCATATGGTGTCTAATCTCCTAGGACCCCTTCATGCAACTTCTCTCTCCCACAGGGTAGCCTGGATTTCTTGCATGATAGTTCAGGGCTCCAAGAAAGGAGAGATGGAAGCTGCCAGACCTTCTTAATGCTTAAGCTCCAAAGTGACCGGAATGCTATTTCTTCCCCATTCCATAGATAAGAATGGTCATGAATCCTGTCCCAGGTTAAGAGGACCAACAGAACCTCAAGAAGTGATATGTGTGTACAGGATGATGTGGTATTGTTAGAAATTTGTCTCTGGAGATATCTGTGGTCTTCAATGTCATTGAGGTAGTTGCTATGGTTTGTTTTCAGTATCCTTATTTGCCCTCCCTAGGACTTCATTTTCCATCCTGATGTTTATACTTTTGCAATAATAAAAACTAGTTTAACAGCAACATGAGTCATCTCCACCTTTTCCTATTCTTGCGATGTTTATCAAGCAGTTTGTTTTAAGCATCTTATATATACTCTTGCACACAGGAAGAAGAAAGTCCCTACCCTTAAAATATTTTTCTTTGGAATATTTAATGTTCATATATTGTTGTAGATCTGTTTTTGTTTGCATGTTTATTTTTAGTAAACAATAATCAGAACACATCTTCTTGCCCATTTATCTAATCTCCTTGTTTACCCATGGCTTGTCCATCAGCAACACAGAAACATTTTGGCTTTGGTTCAGAGAATCATTGAATTTCCATGAGATATTTCTATGAGATACATTGTTTAGACAGATCTATGGGGGGGAGGGGAAGCAAATTACACATTTTGGGACAATAAAATGAAATGACCCAGAAAGTGACTTAGTGTTTATTTCTATGAACCTTATTGCTTTGTGACTTTCTTGCCTGTTATCAGAGAGAACAAAGACAAAAGTCCTTGGCATGGTGTTCCAGGTTGTCTGTGATTTGGCCATGACTTTAATTGACATTATTTGTAATGTTCCTTCTCTTTGACTCTCTCAGTTCCTCCTCCTCACCAAACCACACATTAACCTGTTCTCTGACTAAAGAGTCTACTTACTATTCACCAAATTTTCCATTACCTCCCACCCCCAAAACACATGTGTCTTTGTATATATGGCTTGTTTAACTTGGTGCTTTCCCCACTCCTCTTCTTCCTCCACCTAGCCCCTAATCAACCTGAGGAACTTCAAGACTAATGTAAATGCTACTTTTCCCATGAAACCTTTACCATTATCAGTAGCTGGAATTATTATTTTCTTTCTTTCTGGAGCACTCACGCATGCATAGTTCTTTTATAGTAGTGATCATATTCTGCATGTGTTTTTCTTTTTTAATGGATTTTTTTCTTCCCACTGGATGTCATATCCTTAAAATGATAGTTATAACAACGTCTTTCACTTAGTAGTGCTTTGAAAAGCTCTCTACAAACTCCTTACATTAGTCTTTACGTTATTGATTTTTATTTCTGAAACAAGAAATAATGCCATAGTATTACTATCTCAGTTTCTCAGGTGAGTCAATTTACTGAACATCACTTAGCTAACTGGTAGAGCCAAGGTTTGAACCCAAGTCCACCCAACCCAGCCCAAATTGTAACCACCATGTGAGGGGTCAGGGATAATGGCCTTTTCACCCTCAGAACTTCCAGTGCCTAATAAACTGATTTTACCATCCTAATTTTTTTTCTTCCTTACTATTTATTTTACAAGTTTTTTTTAATTAAAATATTTTCTTCCTTTAGTTTCCTTCCCCATCACTTATTTGAGAACTGCACACCTATTACAATTCTTAGTAAGGGAGGAAGATTTTTAAACCTCATTTCTTTGTTTAAAAAATTAAAACAATTGAATATATTTCATTTCTACTGTATTATGCAGAGTGAAACACACATTTGATTTCACTAAAGGCAGGTTAAAATTTTTATTTGTGTATATTGAGGAAAAAAATTGCCTATTTTATAAATGCCCAAGTAAGGACTTGAGGTATGTCAAATTAAATAGGGTTCTGATAAAACACAAATAAAACAAAAATTTGGCTGACTTTTTAGTTGCTGAGTTGTTGAATTGCTATATGCATCTCTTCTCCATTTTGGTAGTATCAGTGCCACACTTAGAAAAAAATATGTATGTCCTTATACCTCCCCTTCATCATCCTCATAATGAAATAATATTAGCAATCCAGGGCACCTGGGTGACTCAGTAGGTTAAGCATCTTCCTTTGGCTCAGGTCATGATCCCAGGGTCCTTGGATGGAGTCCCACATCAGGATCCCTGCTCAGTGGAGAGTCTGCTTCTCCCTCTGCCCCTCCCTCCCCTGCTCGTGCTCTCTCTCTCTCTCACACACAAAAATAAATAAATAAAATCTTTAAAAAAATATTAACAATCCATAAGATACAAGTATCATTAAGTTGACACGGTAGGTATACGTTGAATTAATTATTAGGTGATTTAGTTGCTAATAGTCAATTGAGTTGTGACAGTCACATTTTGCTATTTGACTTAAAATTACAATGGCATTAATATACACATGTATAATTTTTTTCTAGTTCCCTGAGGACAGTTCTTTTCTGAGACACTTTCTTTTCTTTCCATTCCTCTTCCCTCACAATTTCATTCTTTCTATTCTCTTATATAGTGGTGGTGGAGGCAGTGCTATCTTATAGTTTTCACATACAGCTTTCACTTTTGGGTTTCAATTGTAGAGAAATATATTATTTTATTTGAGATCCCAAACCACTTACATCAGTGGGAAATAGAAAAATTGATGTCTCAAAGCCTGTTATTAAACCATAGTGAGAAAAGATGGAAAACCCCTCAGTTTGATTTTGTGCCTGACATCTTTTATGCCTGGCCACAAACAGATACTTATTGAAAATACATACGTCTAACTCCTATTGGCCTCCCACTAACTTCAGATTTTAGTGCTGCAGCTTCTAAAGTTGTCCTGTTTTTACACTGGCATGTTGGATTCTTCTTTAAAGTTTTTTGTATATCACTCAAGTGAAAGGAAGGAGTTGTTCCATTGGGTGGGAAAATAATATGAAAATTAATAAGATAGAGGCTTCTTACATATTATACACAGGTATAGGTGAGTGTACAATTTAAATGAAAAAAAATCCCATATGTCAGAATGTGCCAGAACATATAAAGAAAACTACTTAGCATAGCATTTGAAGCATTCCATATCTTGTCCCTATATGCATTTCTAGTCCTCTCTCATAATAATTCCTCTTTCAACGTCAGTACAGGGGATGACAGAATCAAATTCAGTAGTGTGCAAAGCAGAAGTGGTAAAGTATGATCATCAATGGGTAGTTTATATAAAATATCAGAGTCTGTTACTTGGTACATGATCAAACAACATTATCACCAGACAAATGTGTCTATTTTATATTAGATTCCCCTGAAAGCAGTTCCTAAGACCAGAGCCTTAGCGCAGGTAGTTTATTTAAGAGACAATTCCAAAAAGCATGTGTAAGAGAACATGCTTTTTGGAATTGTGGAAGAGAACAGGCAGGGAAGGAGGAAAAAATATGCTATTTGGGGTTCCTACTGTAGGCAGCAGGAACTTAAGGATCTCTGAGAAGGGACGGAATGTCTCCCAGAATTGTCTAACCAGTGGATAGAGACCAGGAATTTTGTCTGGCAGCTCCCATCTCCACTGATTGATAGTTGTTCCCAGTGGTGTTCCCTCTTCAGAACTTCCGGGCTGTCTGTGCTTGGGCTGAGACTCTCACAGAGACTTGGAGCAGGCCCTAAGAAAGAATAACAAAGAGAAGCATGGAATGCATTCGAGGTGGGATGTCTTGAAAGGATAAGGAACTGTTCCCTTACAGCAACAGCTGAAATCAGAGACTGGTCCAGTGGTTGAGACATCATCTTTTAATCTTTTTGTCTTATTTTGTTCATTTTACCTGAAATGCTTTCCATTACCTCTACTGTACCTAAGAAATCCTGTTTCAATCCTTACTCTATCACTGTGTTCTAGTCACACTAAATTCATGTGATGTCTTGAGGATCCCTTTATTTATTTATTTATTTGTTTATAGCTTATGATAGTCTTTATTCTACAATGCTATGCTTTCCATTTCCCAACCCCTACTCTTAACAGGTAATTCAGCTTTTAAAGTGGAATACATATGTCTCATCTTTACAGAAGGCTTTTTAACCGTAACAATCCAAGTTAATTGTTTCTTATTTATTTATGCTTCTTTTAAGATACTCATCAAACTCTTTTTGCACCTCTCACTCCCTAATATTACCCTGTCTTTGTTATCCTGACATTCCCAGGTTGCTTAGAATGGTGCCTTGCCCTTAGAGAGAAAGCTCAAAGTGCATTTGTTAAACTGAATGAATATACAGCTATAGGAAAGAAGATTCATTTTGCTCATTATATTTGAATTATAGTATGTCAGGTAATTCTGGCCCATTTTCCAACAGAATTTTGAAAGCATTGGCATAAAACTTATTTGTAAACTCATTTTTCAGTCCTTATGTCTTGTCTTACTGAACATAATATCACATGTCCATCGTACACCTTTTCTCATTTACTGTGTTTTGTACTTAGCAACGTGTCTTAGTATAAAGTTAAAAAAATGTGTTTCTAACATGGTTTAATTAAAAAAATTAATTTAGCCAAAGCATTTATTTATTTATTTATTTATTTATTTATTTATTAATTAATAATAGTAAATTAGCTGTACCTCAAGCCTCACCTTTGCAACATGTTTTAGCACTTCTGTATGGAATGAAGGATTGAATGAATAGCAGTGAAAACATAGCTGAAAACCTTGGAAAGAAAAAAAAGAACAGGGGAGTAAATACCATTAAAATAAAGGGAAGACAAATGGTAGTACCACAGAGGGGAAATGCACAGACCAAAGCAAATGTATCCACTGCTGTGAGATTGCTGTAACTATTCAAATATTTACAAACATTGGAACAGTGTGGGACAATACTTACTATCTCTCTAGATTTTTCTATGTGACAAAGCAAAATGTATTTTTTTAAAAGCACAAGAGAAGGGTCTAACTTTCTGGGTATAGTTGTAGATGGGAACATACATCAAAGTCTTTTATATGAGAAACAATCACTTTTCAAACCTGTGTCTCAATGTGGTTAATACCAAGTCTTGCATCTTCATGTAATAAACAAATTACTAGAAATAGGAGTTTATTCTCACTGTCTCCACCCCCACTCATCTCCCATTCATTCTTCAAACTATTGCAATAGGACTCCGGCTTCTACTTTTCCACTCAGACTTCTCTCACTAAGTTAATCAATGCCTCTTAGTGGTCAAATCCATTAGACAAGTCTTAGTTCATTTTATTTAATTTACCTTTAAAATTAGACTCCGAAACTCATTATATTTTTGAAATTTCTTTGCTGTCAGTTTCCTGATTTTTCCCTTATTGTAACATTTAATGACTTTCACTTCTCTGTTAGATTGTAGGGACCATGCATTTCCATCTTGCTATATTTTATAATAGCTTGCTCTTGGTAGAAAGGTAAGGAAATGATGTTTAGAAATAATTGTTGAATTGAATGGAATCAAATACACAGAAAAGAAGATTCAACAAGTCCATAATATGGGTACTATAATTGCATCTGGTACATAAGTTCATTTGGAGAGAGCATTGACGTAGATTTATTTGAAAGTTTCTCTTTTAGTTGTTGGTCATTTGCTCTCTTTGTTTTTGACCATCATCTCAGTCTCTTTTTAGATCCTACTCTTCCATCTGCGTGATTCCCATATATGGTAATATTTCCTAAGATTTTATTCTTGGACATCTCCTCACTGTGCATGATCCTATCTGCCTCCTTGGTTTGAATTACCTCCCATATGTATGTTGGCTATTAATTGCATATCTTTAGTGCAGATCTCCTCTTAGCCCTCCTTCTATATATCCTAGTTATAAATGAAAGAAAAAAGAACAAAAGGGAGGGATGATAATTGAAAACTGTTCCCCCTCTGAGATTCCTTCTACTTTTACGTATTTGGAACTAGCATAACTTGTAGTTCCCAGCTCAAGTCCTAACTTGTGATTCGTTGCCTGACTTCTCTGGTTCACTCTTTATGGACATCAAATACATTGTTCATTCACTCAAGGTCTTCCCTTGCCTTGTAACTCCTTAGCACTCTGCACTCTGTCTTAGTAAGTGCTCAGACAATATTAATTAGTTGCTATTAGTGATCTGCCTTTCTGCATGCTAAGCAGATTCTTTCCTTGGGGATTTCCCATAGCCTTTGTGAAATTGTTAGAAGCCAGAAAATCTCACAGTTCTTTTGCCTAAGATGTAACATCTTAGGCGGAGGTATTTTTTTTATCCCAGAAATCTATAATTATTATGGATTTATTATCCTATAAATATTATAGGAAGATGGTGGTTTTTTTTTTTTTTTTTTAATGCAGCTACAGTAGCATTCTCATGTAATCCAAAACTAGGGTAATTGTCTATTGGTTTTAAAAAATGCTCTAAAACATAATTTTCACAGAAGGCAAATTATACATTTCTTGTCTGATAGCTACTCATCTCTTTGTTTTATTGTGCAGAGGTTATTAAATTAAATAAGGAGGTTGACTAAAAATTAGAGAGCCACTCATAGTCATTGACACTGTTGGATGAAACTTTTTAAGATACTGTGATCCTTTAGGACTCAATATTACATAAATACAATGCGTTAATTTTCCAATGCAGTGTCAAATTTCAGAAAATATCTGCTGAATAAAGTAATTGCCTGATTGTCATTTATGAGCTTACACATAATCTAATTTAAAAGAACTAATTGTAGCAGAATGTTATACTTGTTTAATAATTTAAGGTGTAAGGGCAAGAATAATTAATGCAGATGAAGAAAATTGGACATCAAACTCATTTATTATTCTCCTTGCTCTATTAATCTGTTATCAACTGGCATAATCGGTGATCTAACTTGGTTTAATTACCATGAAGACTACAATTTAGCTAATCAAAATTTATCATCACTTCCTCCAACAAAGTAGAAAACATTTCATAATTTTGTAATTATGAAAATACATGATGTACAATGTTGTTTGTACACATGCATAAACATTACAATAGTACAATTTCTTTGAGGGAAAATGGAGTATTATCATTTATAATCTGACCTCTGGGCTAGATATAATTTAAGAAAAAAATAGTGCATTTTGAGAGCAAGAGAGCTATTGCTCAATGATTATTTTTCCTTGGATATTTTGTTTGTTTTAACTTTGTAAGTGACATTCATACACAGTCTTAAATATTAGTTCAGAGATTGTGTAAAAATGTGTAAGATCAATTTTGTAACTACTGAGATTGTAAAAATAGGAAATAACATGAACAATTCTCTGAAAAAAAAAGTGAATTTTTTTATTTCTCCTCAGCTCCGTAAGGCTATTATAGATCATGTGTCAGACTCCTTTTTGGATACAACAGTCCCACTTTTGGTTCTCATTGAAGCTGCCAAGAATGGCCGAGAAAAGGAAATAAAAGAATATGCTTCAATATTTCGTGAACACACCAGCAGGCTTATAGAGGTAAGCATGCTAGAACTGTAACTACTCTAAATCCAGGAGAATGAAGCTCTCATTCCCCTTTTACAGTTGAATTGTACTCAGATAAAAACTTTTGAAAACTTATTACAAATGAAGCCAAGTTCAGTATTTTTTATGTATATTTTTTAAAAGGTACACACACACACACACAAACTTGTTAAGTGCAGATACTTTGTTTTATCTTTACAAAGGTTTTCTTCCTGTTCTAACATGAAAGTATTAAATACTTACCTCATGCCATTTTATTATTTCTCTACCATCTTTTCATGGCTGTATTACTCTGTCAGTCTTTTCAATTATATTCAACCATGTAACGTGACTATAGAAAAAGAATGCCAGATATACAGGGGTAGAAATATCCGGAATAAATAAGTGGGGATAGTAGATTGGTCCATGTCCCAGTAGAGGCAAGAGGAGATGATACAACTATAATTTCTTCATCTTGGAAGCTGGAAGCATGGAAATGCCCCATAATTTGGGGGCAAGGTGGCATATTGCTGAAAGAGCCATAAAATGCTAGACAATTTCTAGGAAACAGATAATAGAACCTATTGTATTATGAGGCTCAGTAAGGCGGCCACAGTATAAGAGAGTCTGAATGGAAGGATTTCTAACACCAGTAAGGTGACAGTACTCACACGGCCAGGAACCGGTAGTGGAAAGGGGAAACTGTGCTTGATTGGATTCATATACCAGAGCCGATCTACTGCTAGGACTCATCAGTATGACTGCACTGTTGTTTATGGCTAGTGTCTGCTCTCATTGGCAGCACCATGCCATACTGATTATTAAATGTTCTGACTGCCACACCTTCATATACTGGCCATGAACTTTGTGGTGAATATGTTTGGGGGCTCAAATTACTTATAAAATCGTGTGAGTCAGAAATAGACACCACCTGAATTAGAATCACAGCATTTTATATAACATCTATTAAAATAGAGGACTTTCCCAATGTCTTTAATGTAGATCCACTGGGAAGGAAGTTTCCAATGTAGCTAGCATTTGCACTATAAACTCTCTGGTTCCTAGTCTTCACATTTAGAAAGTGAAAGGAGTTGATAAATAGATAATTACAGATCATTTCAGCCCTAAAACTGACCTACCTCCAACTCTGAAATCTACTTGGAACTTCCCAAGAACTCTGTGAGACCAGGGTAACTGTTATAATTCCCATTGACCTTAGGTGGAAATAAAGGTACAAACCCAGACCAGACTAATTAGAGCCGAAGCTGATTTCCAGGCTTACAATTTTTAACTAATTCATTCAATTATTTACTATATTTCTCATATTATTTATTCCCTCTTGTATTCATTCCTCAAGTATGTATTCAGTCTTCCCCCCAGGAAAATGTTAAAGTAAGAGGCAAAGCAGAAGGAACAAATCATTAAAGGCACCTAACTAAGTGTAGCTCCTGACAATCATAATCATATTTTCTAAAAATATGTTCTCTAAGCTGAAGGCACACCAAATTATGAAAACAGCTTTTTGGTGAAATATTCTGAAAGTAAAAGTTGATTTCTGCTAAAAAAGTTACATCCCTATTCCTATTTCTTAGTTTAGTGTTGCTGTGAAACATAAAACTCCTAAGGTGCTCAGTAAAGAAGGGCTTCTTGATCACAGTTTTTGGGGAAAAATTCTAAAATCTCTTAGAGATTTTACAGTTCTGAGAAATCCATAGATAAGAAGGCCTCTTTAATTTAAGTCAGAATTTCCCCAAATCAGTTTACCTAAGGAGCTCTTCCTTCCATGACACTTATTACTAAAGCTGTGCCTTGAAGGAATGCTTGAGAATGATACCTTAATTTTTTGTGAAATGATGGTTTATTATTATGAAGACAGAGCTCTAATAATGTTTTAAAAATTAAAGGATCTTGAAAATTCCATATTTCACATGAATATTGAAAGAATAAAAGATTTTGTAATTTTGAGCTCCTGGGGGACTGAGAATGAGTTTCATTTAATGTTGAAAGTCCCCTTAATGCATATAATGAGATTATGCGAGCTTTGGAATCACAGTTCTTATTCTTATTCTTCGTATTACTTAGAAACTGGCCTAAGTCATTTTCAGTTCCAGTTAGCTTATGCTACATAACACACCATCTCCAAACGTAGTGGCTTAAAACAACCATTTATTATTCTTTCACTGATTTGTAGGTTGACTGGGCAGATGGGCGACTCTCACTTAGGTTCTCTCATGTGATTACTGTCAAATATTGGCTGGGTATGGAGCCCTCGAAAGGTTTGACTGGGCTTGGCATACAAGATGTCACATTCACATGACTGAAAGTGCATGAGAGCTATCAGCTGGGAGCTTAGCCATGGCTCTTCCCTGGAGGACCAATACATGGCCTTTCTATGTGGCTTCAGCTTCTTGCAGAATAGTTGCTGGTTCAGAGATGAGAGATCCCAAAAGCAAGTCAGAGACAGGAAGTAGATACTGATATCCTCTTAAGGCCTGGGCCCAGAAATTGGCAGAATACCACTTCCACTATATATTATTGGAGCCTGACCAAACAGATGGGGAGGCAGAGAGGTGTGAGACTTCACCTCTCAGTGGAAAGAATAGCAAAGTATGTGGCCACCTTTATTCTACTATACTTCTCTTCTCAGGACTTCATTTGCTTTATATAAAGTGAAGGTTAACGAGATAATGTCTAAGGTCACTGTCAGTTTCTAAAATTCTATGATAAATACTTTTTACAATTGAGAGACTTCTAATTTTCTTTTTATTTTTTTTAAAGATTTTATTTTATTTATTTGAGAGAGAGAGAGAGAAAGGGGGAGGGGCATAAGCAGACTCCCAGCTGAGCACGGAGCCCAATGCAGGGCTCGATCTCACAACCCTGAGATCATGACCTGAGCCAAAATCAAGAGAACTGACTGAGCCACCCAGGCGCCCCAAGACTCCTAATTTTCTTACAGCTATAGACTTTGGAGAAAATGAAAGTGGTTTTTAAGTATACAGCTTGCCCACTAGGTTGTTTGTATATATATCAAGAAGAAAAAAAAAAAAAAGAACACTGCATTTATCTTCCAGGAAACATTCTTTGTGAAAGGAGCTATCTAACCAAGGCAACAGAGAAAATCATCATTAATTTACTACAAACGTTGAGCCAAAAGTGTCTGTGACAGAGTCCAGGGAAATAGGAGAGCTTAAATATATGTTTCAGAAGACATTGTAAGTTTACTTTGTATAGATTGTTTCCAACCCTCCACCTTTGTTTTCCCTACTCCTCCTCCACCCAGACTACTTAGACTCATCTTATTCCCAAACTGGGTAATTTGACAGAGCAGGACAGAAAATCTTAGATTCTGAATGACTTCAAGGAAAAGCTATTTTCAACATGTCTGGGTTTTGATACCTCAACTGTGTTTGTCAGAGAAATCTAAAATCAGTGAACTTGTTGCAGTAAGACTTGGAAAAGTCCATTTTTAAAGAATTCCTATCAGATCTTTGAAGAAAAACTCCATGTCGTTAAAGGAACACTTTAGATAGTGGTTAAAATTGTGGTTAAAAAAAAAAAAAAAGAAAGAAAAAACCCCTGGATTTGAACACAAAGAAAAAATAATTAGGCAACCAAAAGGATTTGGGGTATTGGAGAAAAGAAAGTGGGAATGAGGAGAAGAGTGGCCAGTAAATTGGGCCTGAACTTTCCCATCCTCTAGTGGGGTCATGTCTGAGGTCTCCTGTTATATTATCATGTTTGGTATAAAATGATCATGGGTGAAATGATGGTTATAAAACCCTGGGTAGTGTCAATAACTGGAGAACCTAGATCCTTATGGCTAATTTTGTTTAGTTATGCTGAACTAAGTAATTATTATGCAAAACTTATCCTACTTTGCACATCCAAGTTACTCTATGTTTTTGGATCCACCAAGCCACAGTAGGGATGAGAAGAAGGAGTCAAAAGGTTGGCATTTTAAAAATCATCTTTACATCGTGATTAGCAATTTAATGACAAATATGCTCATTGAATTATACTCCCCAATATTTGATCTTGCACTGATGGTGAAATAGGGCACCATTAACTCTACTGACTTCCACCAATAATACCTATTAAACAGGAAGTTTAAAATATTGATTTTACCTTAAAATTTAAAGTATTCACTAATTCTAGAGAGTAAGAATTTTATCTGTCGTCACATTGAGCCTATTCTGTTAGCCAAGTCTATGCAGCTAGTACTCCATAAATCTGCACTGAATGAAGGAACACATTCATAACACTAACTCACTTTTGTTTCTCTCTAAAAAGTTAACTTCCAATAACTGGACTTGGGACCATGTCTGAGCCCAGTTACTTGGTAGGGTGCCTTCCTATTCTACTGCACATGAATACTTGAAAATAATTCTTCACAATGATATTAGCAAACACCTTTGCCATCAATTATCAAAAGCAAACACTATAAACTCTACTCCAGATCTCCTGAGGGAATATGGAATATGTCACAATAAGATAACATTTTTAAAGAACTTTGCCCACTTCAGAGATAATAGTTTGTAACTTTAATGTGATAATATAATTGTTATTCAGAAGAATGCCATTGCATTCAATACATGCATTGCTTATTACAATGGCTGTTATTTAATATTTCTTTAAAATTAATTTCTAAAAACTCCACTATTATTCTTGAATCATACTACAATTTGTTCTCAGTGATCAGTTCATGCTGAACACTACATAGTTGCTACAAACTAAAAAGGTAACATCTCCAGTCTATCCCATGGATTTTACCATGTCAATTATCATTAAATATGACAGTGTTAATGATCTAGGCCTGAAGATTTTCTGTGAATTAGAGAAGTTTCTCCATGTGAAAAGCTAGCTTTGTCAGTGCTTTGACTTATTCATCAAAAATTCATCTGTCTTGATGCACCTTATTTTAGTAAGTTTTATGGGAGCCTTTCATCAAAAAGGAAAAAGTGGGTGGACATTTAATTATAATACTTTCCTCCAACCTACAAAGCTGATTGTTC